TAAGTCTAGAAAAATGGAAGATGGAGTGTGGGGAAGAATGGGGTGGGAAGGCCTATTTATAGAATTTTAGAATGGTCGAATTTGCACTAAGTAGCGAAATCGAGTGAAGAGAGAGGAGAAAAAATGCTTGACATGAAAAAGGAGGGGAGGAGGGCCTCATCCATCGACGATGGTAGTGCATTGCAAAAGGCAACGACGGTGCACTTCCCAAGGTAGTAGTGTTCCCGCTGGCGCGCTGCAGGCTAGTCTGCAGGCACACAAGCCTCTTGTCGCGCGCGCAGGAGCTAGCCTGTGCAAGCACAAGGCTTAGGTGCATTGGGCACCGCACATGAAGGCCTATTGCGTATAGGCCCCAGGCCCGTAAGGCCTATCCGCGTAGGCTTCTGCGCGGACGGCACGCACACAGTGTCCAGTGCCTGTCCGAGCGTGTGGTGATGCTTGGACGAGCCGCCCACGTGCAGGACTTGTTCCCACGCTATGAGCACAGATCAGACTGCGCGTTGTGCCGACGTCCCGTGCATGTGTGTGTGCGGATGGGACGTACGCGCTGTGCGCACGTCCCGTAGCTGCTGTCCGCATGCGCACACGCATACAGTGCGTGAAATCCGTGCGAGCAGCTTTGCTTCCCCGTGGGATTTCTTCTTGTTTCACCATTTTTTCAATTTTTCTCAATTTTTTAAAGTTAAATTAAATAAAGTTACATGTAAATTAAATAATAAAAATAAAATAAATAGAGAAAAAATAATTAAAAATCAACCAGATTTACGAATTACGATAAATAATCGTGGTAATTTAAATAAGTTTAATGCGGCCAAAAACCCGAACTATTAGGGTTTTCGAAATTATTTAAGCACAACCATGGCCGAGGTGTTATACAATTCCTTCTTTCGTGTGTTTATTTTTCTGCTTCTAGAAATATGATCCCATTAGGGTTCTTTGTTGTGTCATCGAGATTAATGTCCATATCTTGATTTAAGTGGATTTGATTCTGAATGCTTAACTTGACAGAAAAAGCTATAGCATGAGAGATTG